GGTTGTATAACGCAAGTCCTTGCATTTTCTATAGTCGTGTCCCGAGCGGGCTTATGGAGGACGCTGGTTAGCGTATCAGTTAGCCAAGCCTCAAGGAGCTTTTTTACAATTGGGGGCGTCTGCTCCGCCACGGATGTGGAGGCTCCCTTACCAAGAGATTTTGTGATGCTGCAGTGAATAGGAGGTGATCCATCTCGTCTATGGGAGGCATCGGGTGTTGCGTCTCCGTCAACTATTTCACAGCTCTCATTGTTGATGTTCATGAGGTTTGTTGGGAAGTCACTTTTCTCGTCCTTTCTTCTCTGTTACCTGTTATATTGGATTTGTACATGCAAAGAAAGGAGATCTTGTTCTTGCTTCTCTTTTTTTACAAGTTAGAGCTCCGTGTTAGTTATAGGTCTAGAGGAAAATAAAAATTTAACTAGAAAATTCCCATAGACGGTGCCAAATTGTTCGACCAAAAAGTGTAACTTTCGATTAAAACTATTATATTTATGTAATGATGGGTTAAATCTAATTGATAATAATATCTCTAAATGTAAGTTACGAAAATGTAGCTAATCGTTGAACATATTTGGTGGGAGATTGGCAATAACAAACATTAAATATTCTAAAAGGTATTAGCAATAATGGAGGAGTAACTAGCAATAAATAACAAAAATGACATTGAAGTAAATAGGAGGAGTGATTCACCCAATAAAGAATGAATGGGATGATTGTTCCTCCCGATAATGATGAGTGACAGATAAATCCTTGAAAGTTCGAACTATTCTCGGATCTGATGGAAAGTATGAACAAGAATATTGATGAAAAGATAATGTTTGTATCTCTGCTAGAGGGGGAGAATCCTTCTCAGAAATCTGTTCTTATCAAGTGATATTACATGCCCCTTTTCCTTATCTTTTGTCTCTTTATATGGGACATATCCCTAGTAAACCCTAATAGTACATGTGCAGAGAACATTCTTTAGAATATTTCCTCTATTATCCTATTCTAAAAACTAGCCGTTACAACTATTTCCGCGAACCTCGTTCTCGATTAATTCTTCCCTCAGTAGTTCCTCGCCCTAAATATTCTATGGTAGATTTCGACCTATACAAAATATAAAGGCAAAAAGGATGTAAGAAACATTGGAACTAAGAATCATACTACTATATATCATATGAGTTGTGAAATAAATTTTCAAACAATAAAAAGGGTGGAAAGTTTAATGAACTCAAAACCTCAACGTTCTTACACCCCGATTCTCACTTTTACTACTCCTAATAGAAAGTACAAGTACAATCACATTCGTCGATTCTAAGAGCCCGTTTGGCTTAGCTAATTTAAGTAGCTGATAAACATTAGGTGCTGAAAAACACTTTTAAGCGCTGAAATTGATTTAAAAAATAAGCAGTTACGTGTTTGGATAAAAGTGCTGAAATTAATAATAATAAGAATTGGGTATACAAAGAGTTTTGTTTAAAAAGAATTATTTTAGGGATATAATAATAAATATTTTGGTCAAACCTAAAGTGCTTATAAGCTGAAATTTGATAAGTTGGGGGAGACCAACTTATGACTTTTGGCTTATGAGCACTTAACTTATAAGCACTTTTAATTTTAACAAAGGTCGTAGATAAACCAAAAAGTATTATCCTTTTAAGTTTTTCGTTAATCTTGTAGAGACCCTCTCATTGGACAAGCAGATAAGGGGAGACACACTAGTGGAAAAGACTAGCGGGCGCCTCGTGGGGGCAAAAAGCCAAAAGAAGAAATGGTAGTATCAGTTTCCTCTATTCAACCCCGCTTCATCTCTACCTTGATTGGAGACTGCCGCTTCATTCAACCGTCACACTCACTCCATAGACTCTTCCGTTACAACCCAGGTTATTTCTTTCTTTATTGCTTCTGTATTTACATATACTTTTTTGTTTTCTGGTTTCAAAGATTTAATGAGGATATTCTCATAGTGCTTGGGACAATAAAGTTGCCCTTTTCTTGTTTTACTGCTTTTTTCATCTCAAGTTCTTGTATTTAATTGTACTTTGTGCTCATAGTGCTTGGAGCAAAGAAGAACATCCCTCCTCTTTTAATTTGTTTTACTGCTTTATTTCATCTCAAGTTTTGTGCTTTCTGGTCTCAAGATTTGAGGATGGTATTCATAATAGTGATTGGGACAACAAAGTTTAGACTTTTATGGAACTAGCAAAGGCAAATGTTTCTTGAACTATAAGAACTCATTTTAACCAGCTTAATATTTATCGTTATTCAGGTAATAAACATGTCTCCATGCAATACTCAAGAAGATTTTCCGGATTAACGGATTTATTATTCAACAGAAGGTATGTTAATTCATCTTCAAGTTACACAAGCATTCTTGTTTTCAGCATGTCGATTACCATGACCCTTTTCTTCTTTTACTCCTAATATTAGATCTTTTGACTATAAGTCTCATGTTTGCATCTAAATTCCTCATTGATTTTGTTTATGCTGCCATTTCCCTTTTTTTTTGGGTGGGGGTGGGGGGGAGTAGAACTGGCATTTGGCTCTTGGTAGTATAAATGTAGGAGATTCCTCACGTTTAAAATGTTAAACGTGGTTTTTGAATGAGGGATTAGCATACATCATTAGTGGATCTTGGCTGAATAAATTTTGTCATGTATCTGATCCTAATGTTTAGGTTTTGAGTCAATCTGTCCCTTTAGAGTTCTTTTCTTCCAATTTAGTTGTAGAATTTTGAAAATAAGTATATTCAACCTTTGATCCTAGCTACATCTGCGGCCAAATTTGAAAAGCATTACAAGGATGTGGCTTTCAGTAAGAAGTTGTATGGATCAACGTTGAGAAAAAAGGGAAAAATTAGTGAATTATCCTTTTTCTACCTCACATTAGCCACCTTTGCTTAACAATTTAGACTTTTAACCCTTGCGATATTGCCTTCATCCTGCTTCTCCTGCCCATCCAGTTAGTATCATCTTTCACCTTTGAGCCTATTAGCTTGAACTAGCCAATAAATTCTAACGTGACTTGTTTTTGAAGTTTCTTGCAAATTTGTTTTGTCCTTTCCTCCATTATCGCATAGGATTGCACAGAGGCCCATCTCGAGTCTACATCTAATGTCCATTGCAATGTTTTCCCCATCATCAGTTTAGATCTTTCATGAGGCAAAACGGCTTGGAGGAGTTGAAGGAGAACGTTCTTGATTCAAAAGGATGCTAAATCATGTTGCTCATCGTATAATCCTTCTAAAGGCAAACTTGTTTAGAAAGCAAAGCATTTTTCCCCTGTGTCATAGATGTCTTAAGTTGTGGGGGCATATGTGTTGGGGCAAGGATTTCTATGGTATACTCAAATATGTGTAGGTCTAACAGTAGAGTTAGAGTCAAAACTAATTTATCGATCTGACTTTTTGTTAGTATAAAGTGAGTCCTACTTATTCTTTTGGAAGTATGAGGCTGAACAAGTCGTCCAAAGTGATGGGAAATAATATCCTTAAAAAGCGGAAACATGATATGCATCCCCACTTTGCTTTGTCTTTAGCATGAAAAAAGTTATGTAAGCTCTTAATTTCCTCTGTTTTTAAAACAATTGTAGAAAATAGTATTAGGTTCTTAGCACATGTGTTAGATGAATACTGCATTTATAGGTTCTGCTCTGATTTTTCTGTAACGATATGGAACACTTCTGGTACTGGGAAATGGGAATAGTGTTGTCTATCTCTGTAGGGAGTTCACGGAAAGGTTTCCCAGGAGAATCTACACAGCACTGGTCTCCTGCTTTTCTTCTTTTGGTGCTTCCTATACTAAATTGATTTTACGGATAGATTAATGACTGATAAAATATGAGAAGTTACTATGAACAATTTCAGTTTGAATATTTTGATCATGTCAGAACAAGGTCCAATAAATTGAAAGTACTGCTAACTTTTCCTTTATTTTATACATTCCTGTTTTTGATTGTTTGCTGCATGCTAACTTTGAACTAAACATGGCAGAAACGTAGATGAACTTCCAAACACCAAGCGCAAACGTTTAAGACCAGGTGAAATTTCTCCTCCTCGACCAGTTCCAGAACACATACAAAGGCCTCCTTATGTGAAGTCTAGGAAGCCTCCTGGGATTGGTAGCGGCTTTGAAGTGCATGGCGGAAAGGGAATAGAAAAGATGAGAGCTTCTGGAAGGCTTGCTGCACAGGTTCTTCAGTATGCTGGGACATTAGTCAAGGTGATATATCGAGTATCTTTTACTCAGACTCAATGTAGAGTTTGGTGCGTCGGCATGCTTCATTTAGGTTAAAAAAAATAGATTTGTGTTAATGGCTTCCACTCACTGACTTTGATTTGTCTATATCCTGTCTTTACTATGATCATCTGCTTGCTTACCTTGGAGGTTAACTTTATTCAATTAGACCTCCACCGTGTATTTTTGCTCTTTCTACCTTTTTCTTTAGGTCATGTTACAACCTGCTTTACTAGTCCATTCTTTCCAATTTATATGACAACTTTTTGGAGACTCAAAATATTAAACACCATCTCATTTTATATAAATTTCACAAATTCATTGCTAACTATTCAAATTTTAAACTTCAATGTGATGTTTTTCCTATTAAACTAACTTCTCACCAGTACTTTAATACTTTTGTATAATGTTTATGTCAGATTAACCTGTTAAACTCCATGTACAGTCAAATAGCGTTTATAAAATAGTATGGGGTGAGTAAATGATTGTTCTTTTCCCCCCTGTATGTGAGTGAAAAATGTAAAGAACTTCAAGTGTTCACCATCTCATTTTATATAAATTTCACAAATTCATTGCTAACTATTCAAATTTTAAACTTCAGTGTGATGTTTTTCCTATTAAACTAACTTCTCACCAGTACTTTAATACTTGTGTATAATGTGTATGTCAGATTAACCTGTTAAACTCCATGTACAGTCAAATAGCGTTTATAAAATAGTATGGGGTGAGTAAATGATTGTTCTTTTCCCCCCTGTATGTGAGTGAAAAATGTAAAGAACTTCAAGTGTTCACCATCTCATTTTATATAAATTTCACAAATTCATTGCTAACTATTCAAATTTTAAACTTCAGTGTGATGTTTTTCCTATTAAACTAACTTCTCACCAGTACTTTAATACTTTTGTATAGTGTTTATGTCAGATTAACCTGTTAAACTCCATGTGCAGTCAACTAGCATTTATAAAATAGTATGGGGTGAGTAAATGATTGTTCTTTTCCCCCCTGTATGTGAGTGAAAAATGTAAAGAACTTCAAGTGTTAGATAACACCAAATTGTTGCATAATTGAATGTAACAGGTCCAAATGGAGCAAACTGGATAGTGAGGATTCATATAACCAACCCCAGCTAGCTTGGGTTTGAAGAGTAATTTTTGTTGTAGTCACCATAGCGTCAGACCAGCATCAGTTTTAAATTGGTGCATGAAACGTCAACAGTCTGAATAGTTTCACAGGGTGTCTGAACAATGATTCATTTTTAATCTGCATCATTATTTCTTCTGGCAGCCAGGCACTATGACAGATGAAATTGACCAAGCTGTTCACCAAATGATCATTGACAATGGAGCATATCCTTCACCTCTTGGTTATGGTGGATTTCCAAAGAGCGTGTGCACCTCAGTGAATGAGTGCATTTGCCACGGAATTCCAGATTCACGTCCACTTGAGGTTTGCTCTACTGAATAGTTGGTTTTTTCATAACCAAGAATTCAACTTAGCAACAGGCTAACATTCTTATGTTCTGTGGTATTTCATGATTTAGGATGGGGATATTGTCAATATTGACGTTACCGTTTATCTTAATGTAAGTATTTTGTTGCAATTAATTAGTGTCGTTTCCTGTCTCTTCATTGCTTCAAGTTTTCTGTTTATACTGAAAGATGTTATGTATCCTTGAAGAGATAAGATACCTTCCTGAAGCTATAAATACAATGAGGTAAGATATATGGTTTCTCATGGTTCTTCAAGATGCTATTATCCTTACTCTTGAGAACCAGGGTTTTTGCATCTTCTTACATGTCATTTTTGATATAATCGTCTAATTTTGGTTTGCCTATCTGCTGAGTGGGATTAAATCACTAGATTTGTTACTGTTGGTAGTGGTAATCTCTTGAACTGAATTTGTGCTTTATCTTTGTTTCTTGCTCACTTATGCCGTTACACGAAAACTAGCTATATCATTTCACTTTGTGAACCTCAAGCATAGATAGTACTTTTTACAATTCCCTTTAATCCACCTGTCTGTCGTTATTATTTATTTTTAGTTTCCTGTGCCCTTACTGCTCTCCACTACTATCTCCTACTTAAGTCTCCAAACGCCATTTTGCTCCCATTGTACCTACTTGGGTAGAAGGGGTGCTTGTGGTCATGGTGATGAAGGTTTAATCAATATATTGAAGGGTG